TAGAAAATAGCAGGCGCTGGCTTTACACCAAAAGGTAGTCTGTTGTACTGGTAAAGTCCACGATGAGTATTTATTGTTAGATAAGGCTTAGAATCATCATCAGCTTCTACTTGTAAATAGGCATCAGATAAATCCAGTTTTGCAAAATAACGTCCACCATTGAGTTTAATGAATAGATCTTCGGGCAATGGCAATGGATATGAATGATTTTGCAGAGCATTATTTAATCCAGTAGAGAAATCAGCACATAGACGAACAGTACCGTTAGCTTTTTGAACGACAACAATCGGAGCTGCCCATGATGAGAAAGTAATAGGTTGTATAACCCCAAGCTTTTCTAATCGGTCAAGTTCTTTATCAACTCTATCGATAGAGGCGTAGGGTACCTGCCGTTTTGGACGAAAAACTGGTGTAGCTCCTTGACGTAAATATAATTTGGCTTTACCAATATTGCAACATCCCAAAATATCTTGAAATACATTCGAATGCTTTTCAAAAAGATGAGCTGTAGTCAAGACGTTGTTGTTTGATGTGTAACATTTAATACAGGAATATGTGGATCTTTCAATGTACACACTGCGTCTAGTGGCACCTTCCAAAGATTTAATTTGTCAATCCAATCAATACCAATAAGATCTAAATCATGTCTGTTTGTTAAATAACAAGTTCCAGTAAAAGAATGTACTCCGAATTTAACAGCACAATTTATCATCCCAACGAGTTTTAGAATATCTCCAGATGCATTACGCGCTGTATGTTCAGTAGGCAGTAATGGGGGGCAACCCATCAATTCCCAAGTTTTCTTAGAAATAAGTGTGATATCAGATGCTGTATCCAACTGCAAACGAATCTGAACATCATTAACTAATAGGTCTACATATCTTCTTTTGTCAGCAAGATTACACGTGAATGTCGAATATATACTACGTATGGAACTCTTATGATTCCGGGGAAACTTTATGCGTCGTCCAGATTTCAAATAATTCTGTTGTCGGCAGACTGTTTCTTTATGACCAACTTTATAGCAAATGTTGCACTTATGACGTTTATAACGGCAAAATCTCGCGAAATGCCAAGATCCACAAAACCAGCACTTCGAAGACGGTTTGAATAATTTAGTTTGACGTTGATCATTCATTGGAACACTCTTACTTTTGTTGGATTTGACAGCATGGATATTACAATTTAGTGAAGCATTACCTTTGGTCTCTACAAGCTTCGTATCATTTTTGAGGTTGACCAGTCGTTGACATTCTGACGTTACCATCTGTAGTGTCATGTCATCGTTTTGCTCAATGCGTGATAGCAATCTTGTTCGAACATCAGCATCTGCTGGTGACTGGAGTCCAGAAACAAATAATAAACATTTAAACTGATCATTTGACAATGCGTTTAATTTAAAACGTTCGGCTTGTAGATTAATTCTGCTTGCATAAGACAAATAATCCTCATCTGCATCTTTTGTCAATTGAAGGCATTTATAACGAATATGAAATAAAGATGCTGGTTCACAGAATATCGTATTTAAAATGTCAATAGTTTCATTAAATGATTTATGGTCGACCATTTACGTTGCTGACAGACCACAAACCTCTCCTCTCTATTTTTGGGGCAAAGTCCGGCATTCCAGTACATACTGGCAGTCGTTTACATCGTTGGGCAATTATGTTATTAGCCTATGACTTTAAGATTCGCTATAAATCAACAATGACTTTTGGTCACGCTGACGTCCTCTCCAGATTAATCGCGACTCAAAAGTTTGAGAACGAAGATGTTATTATTGCTACGGTGTCACTGGAAGATGATATTCATACTGCAAACTTCTATTCAGGCTACACCTTTGTCAGCAATGGACGTAAAATCTACAACTAGGACGGATGAAGAGCTTCAGACAATTATTCGCTATCTTTTGTATGGTTGGCCCCCACACCTCAACGCAACAGAACGACAATATTTTCATCGACGAGACGCCCTTGCTGTTGTTGATGATTGTCTTATGTTTGGTGACCGTGTAGTTATTCCCAAATCTTTGCGCCACAAAGTCCTGTCACAATTACATTCTGCACATCCAGGTGTCGTCCGAATGAAAGCATTGGCCCGCAGTTACGTACACTGGCCAAACATTGATACTGATGTTATGAATTATGTATTGAGATGTTCAAAATGTGCACAAGCTGCGAAAGCCCCTAGAAAAACCGAACTTTGCTGCTGGAAAGCAGCGACACATCCATGGTCGAGAGTTCATGTAGACTTCGCTGGTCCCCTAAAGGGCAAACACTACTTAATTATCATCGATGCTTTTTCTAAGTGGCCGGAAGTACATTGTATGAAGTCTACATCAACCATGGCTACACTAGACAAACTGCGTCAAATATTCAGCTGTTTCGGAGTCCCAGAAGTACTTGTCTCCGATAATGGCCCACAATTCGTGTCTGCAGAATTCCAGAAGTTTTGTGCTCTTAACAGCATTAAGCATATCAGAACCCCTCCGTATCACCCACAATCAAATGGGCAAGTCGAGAGATTCGTCGACACTTTTAAGAGAGCGTTACTCAAAGCCCAGGGGGAAGGAAGATTAGAAGAGATATTGTATAAGTTCCTGTTTGCTTATCGTTCAACACCGAATCGTGAGACGGTCGGTGAAGTGTCCCCTGCGGAAGCTATGCTTAGAAGAAAAATCAGAACGCCATTAGATAGTTTGAAGCCAAATTTTGCAATGACTATCGAACGTAATTCCAGAATGGAAATACAATACAACAAGAAGCATGGAGCGAAGCCCAGAAGATTCTTACCCGGACAAAAGGTTTGGGTACGTGATTTTCATCGTAAAACAATGGAGTGGGTTCCTGCAATTATCCTAAGGAACAGAGGAAGAGTTATCTATGAGGTCGGAGTAAGCAATATGAAATGGCTAAGACATGCTAACCACATCCGACCGTCCAGATGCGATGACGGGAATGAAGTTAAGCTGAGTACTCCGATGACGTTAAACATGTTACTTGATTTGACTGACAGAAGCAATCAGAAAACGAAAGCAGTGGAGACAAGAACAGCATCATCAGAAGAGTACTGAGCTCTTGATCCGCAAGCTTCCTTTCCAACGTTTGGTCCGCGAAATCGCTCAAGACTTCAAAACTGACCTTCGTTTCCAGAGTTCAGCCGTCTCAGCGCTCCAAGAAGCCAGTGAAGCATACTTAGTTGGATTGTTCGAGGACACTAACTTATGTGCCATCCATGCTAAGCGTGTTACGATTATGCCAAAAGATATCCAACTTGCTCGACGCATTCGAGGTGAACGAGCCTAGATAAGTGTCAATGTAGAGGAACCCAGAAAACGATGACATGACACTACAGATGGTAACGTCAGAATGTCAACGACTGGTCAACCTCAAAAATGATACGAAGCTTGTAGAGACCAAAGGTAATGCTTCACTAAATTGCAATATCCATGCTGTCAAATCCAACAAAAGTATGCCAACCTGTGTCGCCTATGGTGTAGGCGAGATATCCGTTTGCTAACCGAAAGACGAGTGTACTGCACAGTAGTCCTCTCCGTCTTACTTTATGGCTGCGAAACATGGCCGGTGAGAGTTGAGGATATTCGTAGATTATCAGATTCCGATTATAAATGTCTTCGAAGCATTGTTCCTGATTATGGATGTCTTTGAAGCATTGTTCGTGATTATAAATGTCTTTGAAGCATTGTTCGTGATTATAGATGTCTTCGGAGCATTGTTCGTATATCCTGAGACAACCGAGTAAGCAATGCTGTCATTAGGAAACGCGTACCAGGTAAGGATGACAGATCAATAGATGAAGTATTGAGACTTCATCATTTGTGGTGGTTGAAACATGTGTTGCGTTTGCCTAACCACCGACTGCCTCGTCAAGCTATGTTTTGCGATGTAGGAATAGGTTGGAAGAAAGTTAGGGGTGGCCAGACCAAAACATGGCATAAATCCGCGAAGCCACTGACAAGTGGATTGGGCCGTGTTCTTAGATCTAGACTACCTGGTTGAGGTCCGCGAGATGATAGTATCGTTGGTTTGAGACCCTGAATGACATGGCTAAAAACTGTTTGCAATTGCGCAGATGCATTCATTATTTGTGTTCCGTCAAATTCTAGTCTTCTCAATTTCTCATCATATTTATCTTTCTCTTTTTAAGTTTATTTCACTAGATTCTACTTCTTCAATAATATTTACGAACCCTAATCTTCTCCATTTTGCATGATATTTCTACTTGATCTACCACTATGATATTTGAATTGACAGTTGTATCTCTGTGCGAATTTGGTATGGCAACCTGAACTGGTGTACGTAATTACGAAGTTCTACGTTGATGCAGACATATCAAATTCTTTCTTGTAGTCAATGAAGTAGATGTAGAGTGGTGAATTCCATTCAATTGATTGTTCCAGATTTGCTCGGTACACAATCGACCCATACGGAATCTAGTCTGTTGATCTCGAAGTCGGACATCTACGTAGTCCTTCATTCTGTTTAAAAAACACTGTTGTAAACGTTTCCTGGTATTGAATGAAGAGTGATGCTTCTGTAGTTCTCACACTTGAATTCATTAAGTTTGTCAGTATCTTTAATAAAGGTCGTATTAAACTTTTCTGATGTTTCCCACCGCGTTTTTCCAGTGTTTCTTGAGTTTCAGTTTCATCTTGGCCACTACGAAGTGATGATTTGAGACTATATCAGCTCCTCTCTTGGTTCTCACTTCCTCCATGGCTGTTCTGAATTTTTCTTGATGCAGATATGATCGATTTCGTTCTGTTTCATGTGATACTTGTAAATCATATGTATCACTCAGTGTATCTTTCTTCGGTAGAGAATTTTATCACGAGAGTTTAGTTAACCGATATTATGCATTCTCTTTTTACGATAACTATGACACTATTTTCAAGTCACTTATATTGTGAAACTTAAAGTTCATCAATTTCATGGATAAATGATGGGAATATCCTACTTATCTACATTTTTCAATTTTAGAGATCGGGTCAACATATACTATTCTCTCTACCCCGATATCTGATGGTCTGATTTCTCGTCAGCTTGGATCGCCTACAATTTATGAAATACGGATAGCTTCAGAAATTACGGATTCTCCATCAAATGGTTTAAAAATAAAATTACATTCTGATTCAGATCAAGTTAATTCATCACTTGGAAGTGAATTTTCACACACTGTCGACTGTCAGGGTCTTTTTATCCGTCATGAATATGTACCTAATAACTGGGATGTAGTCAAATCATTATACTCAAATGCAATGATTGAAATTCATTCATCCACTTATCATGGCTTGTGTCGTCCTTTTAGAATGTGGGAATATTCTAGGTTAGGTAGATCTAATTGGCAAGAAGATTCAAGAAAATTAACTCCACCAGTTGTTATGAAAAGGTAAATTTAAAAATCGTTTTTATGGGTTGTTTATACAGTCTTACAGGAAAACAACAACTTTGACCACTTCTAGCGTTCTCCCAACCTACTTCTGCTTCACTTAGCATTGTACGTAGCACAGTTAGTTGTTGGACCTACAGAGGGCATGATTCGAAAAGAATTATCCAGTAATCTGAATTTGAAAAGTGGAAAGAGATTATGAGTAACTCAGAAGATTAGAATTAGAGGGAAAACAAAGAATGGATGCATCTGGACCATTGCAAACGATTTTGAGCCATGTTATTCTAAGTCTTTAACCATTGGTTACGATTGTCTCGCGCTCGTAATCGAAGATGATATGTATATAAATACGTGCTCCAGAATGAGCAGCAGTCTTCTGTCGAGCCTCTCCATCGGTAGCTGATATCAGTATTGTTGAGTTGACTTTTGGGATCGCCATGTCAAAAGATGTTTTTACTTAAGCTTAATGTCAGTATTTGCCAGAGCATAGCTGCAGCAGACGATTGCCATTATCTGTTGTACAAGTTGTGACACCATAAGATCCACCCAGGTATCTTTCATTTTTGCTTACACTTTACCTATTTGAGCATTAAACTCACTATCCACCATTACTATATCAGACGGCTTAACGTTTTGAAGGAGGCTGGAAAGCTTTCCATAAAATTCTTCTTTAACTTCATTCGAGCTGCAGCCAGTGGGAGCGTATGCAAAGAATACGAAGAGGTTCGAACTGCCCCGGTTAGTCGCACAGCACATAGTCTAAGTCTAAGAGAGCTAGTTATGTTTTAGAACTTGATGCTATACCTACACCAGTGAGGTCGCGGGGATCTGTAGTGGGGCTTCCAGATACACGAAGCGTAAATCGACAAGGAGAGGTCAAATGAACTCAAGGCGTTTTGATAAGCGGCGCGAGTTAACAGAGGAATGAAAGTAGGGTTGGTCTTGGATATAAGAGAGTTGGAGGTGTAGGATGGATTTGATTGTGATCAATTCGGTTGTGGGTATGAGGGTGGGTCACTTCCTGGATGCACACACTGTGGGTGTTTCTTTAGGTACCTGAATGGAAGTTGGATTAGTGTTGGTCTTAGAGACCTGGGGACAACTGCTCGAGGCTGATCAGGCACGGTCTTTTTATGGGATATTTTGGAAGTGTTTGCCCTGATCTTCCAATGGCCTTACCGCTGGAGACGAAAATCCATGGGGTAAGGTGATGTGTGACACTTTTAGGGTTGATCTTTTCTAGTTCCTTTCTTCCGTTGTGAGAAGGCAGCATCGCCGCAGATGCCGGTTTCATAGGGGAACACCCTACTGCTGTCACACTTCTCTTGAGTCAGCAGTACGGTTTCGCCCACAAACCTTGAGTTGTTGCTTTTAGTGTTACCGTTCTTCAATCGACCTGCCAGGCATGGTGGGACCTACAAGAACTGGTGTTCCAGTCAGCATTGTTCAATTTAGTTGTCATGACAGTCAAACGTGATCATCAAGTCAAGGTAGCAGCTACGGTTGGGGTGCCAAAAATTGTAGACGGATTATGATTTGGTTACAACATACTTTTTAACAGGCCTACATATTCATTATTATTAGCTATCAAAAATAAAAGCTATCAAAGAATTATGATAATCAAGCAAATTGATTTTGTATTTTATGGCTGATATAATTTTTTAGCGGTCATCTCTAAGAGTAAAGTCAAACAGAATGAGAATATTTGTTTGAAACGTTGTGACAAATTGATAAATCCTGATGACTATGTGGATACTTTATTTGACATTTGGTTAGGATTGTTTCATATCTTTAATTTCCTTTGAGAATGAATAGACGTTTCAAGTAAAATAAGTCTTAAGTTTCTGTTTATATCTTAAATTTTTAGTAGTTTTGTATTTGAAAAATACGTTTTATGAATCTAAAACTCATAAACAAACAGCCCCACTTTCTTTTAATTCATTGGCAGTTCGACTTTATTCATTAAAACTCAACCGGGAGTGTACTCACTTCATTTGTTATGATCTCATAATAAGATTGATATTATTTGAGCAAATCTCCATAAGATTATAGTGTTAGGTGGAGAAAGATCAGCATTTTTCCTAATACATCTTTGTTTCTTTTGCTGGGTCATACACCAAGTCGCATCATTTCACACACAACTGAGTATTTTGTTTACTATTCAGCGAAGAGAACTGTTCATCATTTACTGTCTTCATTTACATTTATCAACGTTAAAATCGCTATTAATCAGTGTAACGATTGGTGTGCCACTTGGTTCCTTAGTTTTATCTAATTTTTTCGATGTACAGACATGTCCTATTATCAGGCTTGGCTGGATTATGGTATTCACTAATGCATGATAAAGGTAATGAATTTATTTACCATGGTATAAATCAAGGTTCAAGTCATACAAATGATCATGATGATTATGATATTTACTTCCTAACTTCGGATGGAATTATAACTTCTGTATCGAACCATGGTTATGAAAACTGGCGCGTAAGTCTGGTATTATTCTTAGTGTATCATTTTCCAACTTGATTTCCAGAAAAGTATAGGTAGAGATGACATTAAGTCATATTGGCAAGGATCTAATGCGTTAACACTCAACAACTGATCAGTATTCGTTTTACAAATGGTGGTAGTTCAGTATTTTAGTTAACAACAATAACGATCTCAGTGCCAACTAACTACTACAGGTTTCATGCACAGAGTTGTACATTAATAAGAATCTAATCGACTTCCATTTTTATTTGTACGGTTTGTGTGCTGTGGCCTCTAGTCATTAAGCCATAAGATCAAAATCTCTAAGCTTCTGGCCTAAGGGGACTCATGAAGTGGGTTATAGTTCAGTTCAGTCAGTTACAACATAGAACTTCGTACATAAGTACATAAGTTCAAGTTGCCATACCACATTAACACAGAGACGCAGTTGTCAGTTCAAATCCCATAGTGGTAGAGATAGTAGAAATGCTACTGGTAATCGAGAAGATTAAGGTTTGAGGATATCATTCAAGAAGTATAAATCAGTGAGATAAGTTTCAAAAAGAAAGGTAGAGGTCATGACGAATTCAAACGATTAGAATTTCGGAGAACACAAAGAATGAATGCACCTGCGCAAATGCAAACAGTTTTGAGCCATATCGTTAAAGGTCTCTAACCATCGGTGGCTTTCGTCTCGCGAACCCAAACCAGGTAGTCGACAACTACCAACATGACTCAGTCCACTTGTTAGTGATTGCATGAATTTGTGCCGTGTTTTGGTTTGGCCGCCCCTAACTTTCTTCCAACCTATTCCTACACCGCAAAACATAACTTGACGAGGCAGTCGGTGGTTAGTCATACGTAACACATGTTTCAACCACCTCAACTGATGAAGCATCACTACTTCATCTATTGACCTGCCATCCTTATCTAGTAGCCGTTTCGCGACAGTAGCATTGCTTACCCGATTGTCCCAGGATATACGAGTAAGGTTCCTAGGGCACCGACGGTCGAATACCAGTAAGATACGAATATCCTCTTCTCTTACTGGCAATGCTTCACACCCATAGAGTAGGGCTAAGTAAACCGCTTCACAGTAAACTCGTCCTTTGGTTGGAAAACACATGTCCCTCCTACACCATATGTGACTCGAGTTGGCAAAAGCCAATCGAGCCTTCTGTATTCGTGCTGAGATTTCGTCACAAACAAGGCCATCAGCACTGATGAGACTCCCGGAATAAATGAAGCGGTAAACATGCTCAGCTGCTTCACTCCCTATCACTAGTTCAGGTTCTGACGCAAACCAACCATGAAACAACATTCTGCATTTCAGCGTTAGGAACCGCATCCGCTTGCATTGTTGCTTTGGTCTGTCAGAAGACTATATTCTGTCCGAGTCTTAACCATGTAGTACTATGTCATTGGCATATTCCAAGTCAACAAGCGAGTCTCCTGGTTGAAGGTCAACTGCTGAAACGTGAACCGATGATAGTGTCATGTCTAATAGCATGTGAGTGACGTAGTTGAACGATGATGGATAGGGTCGACAACCCTGACAAACGCCACTCGAGGTAATCAATTCCAATGACAGTTCTCCATAACCTGTAACTCGGCCAGTAGTGTTCGAGTAGAGAGTTTGTATGATGTTGATGTACTTCTTCAATACAACTTTCAATGACAGACACCGCCACAGAAACTCATGATTAAGAGAGTCGAAAGCTGCTATAAAGTCAGAAATAGTAATATTGTGGTACATCTGAACCTGTGTCTATGTTCTGTGACCTAGCTAATTATAATTTTTTTTATTTATCTATAGAATTTTGTTTCCTAATGCTAATAGCTGTCGTGCGCAGTCTTATTGTCAGTTTTCGGTCGCTGGGGTAAATAAAATCTACAAAGTTCTGTTTTAATTATTCATTAGCTTTGTTGTTTCTTTTAACTGAGGATGTTTGTGCTATTTAGTTATCAGGTGTCGTTAGTTTACATAGACATTCTGCATATTATGTAGTTTTTCATGTAGGTTATTTTATTAATCTTCCCTCTGAATTGATTTTTTTCTCGTTGAATTAAAATTATGTTTTTGACAAATGTTTGTAGGTGAGTTCGGAAGTTTCATGGTTACAAGTTTCACGGACGTTAGGATCAGTTGATCTTCATGGAGATAAAGATTCTGTTGATAAACATTTGAATGATCTATATACAGAACACTTTCATCCCTCCTTAACTGCCATCGATCTTGTGTCTTTAGGACAAGGATTTGTGCATGGTCTTGGCATATTTTCCAGCAAAAAGGTAGGTCTATATGATTTACAAAACAACAAGAGTTTAATGATGAAAAACGTTTCATTTTCCATTGTCACTTACCACCAGCGTAACGAGATGAAATCATTTTTATCTACATCTTCGGGAAACCTAACATAAGTTAAGAAACTATCATTCTGTCAGTCAGCCACAACGTGGAACTTCGTAAATCAGTCATACCACATCAGCACAAAAAAATGGAATTGTCAATTCAAATTCTGTAGTAGTAGAGGTGGTAGAAGTATTAGAGGTCAAGAATTTGCCTGTTGTTTTTGAGTTTTAGCTTGAAATTACTGAAGCACTTCCTTTCATTAAAGTATAAATTTATGACATAAAGACAACTGTTTTTATTGTTGTAACTTAAAACGCTAATCCATTTTACGTACTAAATTTACTAATCAGAATCCTAATTATGGTTTTTTCTATGAAACGTGTACTATTCTGTTTAAAGCCTAGCATCCTACAGTTGACCATTTATACGCTCTTAACTGCAAAATTAACCCTTAGCCAATGCAATCTACATTCTTATTGGTTCGCTCCCCGAAAGCTTTTCTCTGTACCAAGCCTTGAGTTCGAAGCTGAACCAGCAGCCAACTTCTACTACATGCATTTTTCAATTACCCAGCCCTGCCAGGCAGAAACAACATCTCAAACCATCACTGTCTTATGTACGCCAGTAATCAAACCACACAACACATCAGATAAAAAAAATCCTACTTTAAACTTAGTCATATCAGAAGTAGTCGGAAGCGAAGCGCACACCACATAATTATTAGCCAGCAATAATTAGGAGATTATAGGTTAATAGGTCCACCGGAAGCTTGCAATCAAGAGAACTTAGAAATATAACAGTACAGCTATCTACTAATTATACAATAGAAATATAGATAACCATCCGAAAAGTTGTTCTTAAAGTCCCAACTTCTCCAACATTCGTCCCATTATAGCATTAATAATAAAAATCATCTATTTTCTACGTTTAATTTATAATCAAACCTGACTCTGAACATGATGAAGAACGAAGTCAGGTTAGGCTCAGGCTGATAAAAAGCCTACGCTATGATCGAGAACAGTGGTGGTTTGAGAAAGCGAGAGAGATGGAAAAGGCAGCGGTGATAGGCAACAACAGACAGTTATAACGACTTATCAAGAAAATTGGTATTAGAATCCAAAGTGTGAGTGAGACTGTTTCGGAAAAGGATGGTCTTATTATCCATTCTCAATCCAGGAGATTGGACCGATGAGCAGAACACTTGAGGGACCAGTTCAACTGGCCTCGAGCCAGTCTTCGGTTACCCACGATCTCCAGTCATCCTCAATGGAAAATCGACGTAAGTCCTCTTAGTCTTTATGAAGTTGAGAAAGCGTTAGGAAATCTGAAGCGAGGGCGAGCTGCAGGTCCTGATAGACTGACCCCTGAGATATTTAAGGATGTTGGTTCAGTTTTAGCAGCTAGGTTGACTGAGATCTTAGGTAGAATCTGGCCTCAATAATACTTCGACACTTAACGAAAGCTCGTGAAGAGCAGACTCGAGAAAACCAGTCTGGTTTCAGACCTGGACGTGGCTGTATACAACATCTCATGACTGCCGATAGCCTTGTGACTGACGAAATCTCAGCTCGGATACAGAAGGCTCGATTTTCTTTTGCCAAACTGCGTCACTTATGGTGTAGGCCAGATATCCGTTCTCTGACTAAAGGACGAGTGTACTGCGCAGTAGTTCGCTCCGTCTTACTTTATGGCTGTAAAACATGGCCAGTGAGAGTAGAATATATTCGTAGGTTACTGGTTTTCGATCATAAGTATCTTCGAAGCATTGCTCGTATATCCATGGACAGCCGAGTAAGCAATGCTGTCGTTAGGAAACTAGTTGTAGGTAGGAATGGCAGATCAGTGGATGAAGTAATGAAACTTCATCAGTTGAGGTGGTTGGGTCATGTGCTGCGTTTGCCTAACCACCGACTGCCTCGACATGCTTTGTTTTGCGATGTAGGAATGGGTTGGAAGAAAGTTAGGGGCGGCCAAACCAAAACATGGCAGAAATCCATGAAGTCATTGACGAGTGGACTTAGCCGTTTAGGTCGTTGTCGACTACTTGGTTGGGGTCCGCGATATGATAATAGCCGATGGTTAGAGACCCTGAATGACATGGCTCAAAACCGTTTGCAATGGCGCCGGTGCACTTATTCTTTGTGTTCTCTCAAATCCTAATCTTCTGGATTCGTTGGCACCTATACCTTTGTCTATCTAACCTTATCTCACTGAATCATACTTCTTGAATAATATCTTTAAACCCTAGTCTTCTTCATTACTAATAATACCTCTACTATCTTTATCACTATGGGATTTGATTTGACATTTGCGTCTCTGGGCTAAAGTGGTATGGCAACATGAACTTATGTACGTACGTACGAAGTTCTACGTTGCAACTGACTGACTGACTGATATAAAATACTTCACATTTAAAATGTATACTAGATCCTGTCTTCGCTTCTGACCCTTTATATTTTTTAATACTGAAACTAATTTCAACTTAGTATGCTGTTTATTTTAGTAATCTGTTTAGGATATTCCACATTTATGGTTTGTAAGAGGTTGTTTAAAATATGTATAATATATCTTTCAACTAAATTGACAAGATTCCACAACTTATTGAAGTAAACGTTACTTTTCAGTCTATTAATACTCTGTATTCTCCAGGATTTACATTTGTAATGCAAAGCTGTTTTACCACTTTGGAATAGGTTACCTATATTGAGGTAATAGCATTCTGATAGCGTCAGAGAGATGATTCGGCTACTTTCAAACAGGGAAGATGAAGTTAGTGATCTGAATATGGTTGAAATATTTGATAATAGCCGATGGTTAGAGACCCTGAATGACATGGCTCAAAACCGTTTGCAATGGCGCCGGTGCATTTATTCTTTGTGTTCTCTCAAATCCTAATCTTCTAGATTCTTCAACCCCTTTATTTTTGACTTTCTAACCTTATCTCACTGAATCATACTTCTTGAATAATATCTTCTAATCCCAACCTCTCCGATTACTTCTAATACCTTTACTACCTCTTCTACTATTGGATTTGATTTGACGTTTGCGTCTCTGTGCTATTGTGGTATGGCAACATGAACTTATGTACGTACGTACGAAGTTCTACGTTGCATCTGACTGACTGAGCAAAACTAAACAAACCTCTCTTCTGTAGACCATTGATATCCGTGATAAGAGTCAAGAGAGATATGACTATTAACTATTGATATAAGTCGGAATGTCATTTGTTACAGTCAAAACAATACTCAGATTTACGCACAACGAGGAAAAACTTTTAAACGGAATATTTAAGTTAGTTAGCTTAAAATGTTCTTTTGTCGTAAAACGTTGTTGATGGGTTTGTGATTGCTAAAGCTTTCGCTAAATCCACTGACTTAAAACTTGTTTTATTACATTTGGATATACTTGTCGGAATGCTGATAATGTTGAATGTTCGTAGTCAGTCGTGAAAAATGATGGGTTTAAAGCGTAGTGGAGTTCGTGTTTTTTGTTAAACGAGCACCTACGAATTCATACTTTTGTCATTCGCTCGAATGTAACTCAAAGGAAAAATCATATCGAGTTTCATAGCATGAATCGTGTACAGCTAACTAAACAACAGTGGTGAGGTTTTGAATGTCTGATCAGTGTATCAATGAGGACACTACTCCAACAGTCCCACCTTCCCGAATGTAGAAAGAAATACTTAAGTTCTTTTTTCGCCTGGCCTACCGTCAAGAGTTAGGAAGTTCTTCCTCCTTACAGTTGTCTTATATTCGGAGGGTTAATTTTGTTCATTCCAATTTTTGACAGAGTCCTTATCCAGTATAATAAACCGACTGAATGCATGACCAAGTTTATACTATCATTGAATTAGATACTCGAACGGCACACCACACAGAGACTAGATCACTTTAAACCAAATACAGTATTCACCACTGAAGTAGAGAACCAGAGTAAGCGATAAACATCATTTTATCATAATTGCAAGCAGTCACACCCAGTAAGTCCAGAGTATAAATCAGTAAGTAAGTGTAAATCACATACATAATGGTTAGTAGGCAGCGGGTGTCTGTCCACGCTCGATGACAAATCATATTTTAATTTCACTGCCCCACCTGGGATATAATTCATTGACTGTTTCATTTTGAATTCTTAGAAAATCTTTTGTGTCAAGACAAATAGATGCGCATTTACTTTCACCACAAATGTTTAGTCGTAATTAGGATTACTACCTTAATATTTTCGGCCACCTAAAGTTGTCGGACAACATCTTATTCTATTAAAAATCCAAGCTTTTTGAAGCATCTTTCTAAAAAGATTACCACCTGGCTGTTCGAAGTAGACGTACGAAATGATATCACTGAGGTAATAAGAATAATAAATTGTTACCGAATTCGAAAAATTACTATATTTGTTGAAAGTAGACTCTTCATTCAACGTTTATGAAATTATGTTTACAATTTTTGTTTTCCCCTTTCAATATTCACTTTTGTTAGTGCGAGCCCTTTTTCTGGTACTTTTATGAGTATGAACCAGTTATACTACCTGGTCACCTTATTCAATTTAAACGGAGTGCGTTTTCAGTCTGCTACTTATTAATTGAGAATCGAGTAGATTAACAACCAAGCTATTGCTCCATCAGATCATCTTGATAAATATCAATCAATAATAATTACCTTAGTGAAATTATAATCTTGACATAAACGGTTTTTGTCTAATTGGTATATTTTCAGCCCACTATACATACTATTCCATTGCTGGTTTCTACTGGATGGGATTCTGTTGGTGTTGTTGATCGAACTAATGGTAAATTATTAGCTGCACATAGACTCCCAACTCAACCAACTGGTCAACCTTTTGTTATTTCACTTACACTATCCAATACAACTAAGTTGTCAGAGGTTGTCAATGTGCCTACTATATTGCTGGTTCCATGTGATGATATGTAAGCATTTTTCTTTTATTCTATGTCTGTTATTTTCATTAACTATTTTGATGCAATTGGCATGATTTGATTTGATTGTTTGCCATTGGATTGTGTCGATTAATTTTTCCAGCATACATGTCGTCTATTCACTAATTTTAATTCTTCTTATATGTAGTTACACTTTTTGAAATAATTGTTTGTTATCATGCTAATGAAACACGGTGGAAAGATTATCAGTTAACGCGTTGGATACAGTGTTCGGAATGTTATTATTCTAATTATGATTGCTGCCGACATTCAGTAATAAAACTTGTCCTAAATGCTCAACAAATTGGGATTTCGTTTTTTGATTTGAAATTCCATCACTCAGCATCAAACATTTGACGTTTTACAACAATAAAATATTCTTAGAGAGAGTAAAATGTGTATAATGAATCCATTATCTTAGAGGTGCATCATTCACGAAGAATATGCTTTACACATAAATTAAGTAACCCAATTCATTTCCAACTAATCTCTGGTTAGCTAGGACAAATATACATTCACAGATGTCTACGTTACGTACTCAATCAGTCAGTTACAACGTAGAACTTCATACGTACGTACATCAGTTCAGGTTGCCACACCGATTCAGCACAGAGATGCAATTGTCAATTCAAATATCATACTGGTAGATCAAGTAGAAGTAGGAGCGGACTACTGTGCAGTACACTCGTCTTTTGGTTAGCAAACGGATATCTCGCCTACACCATAGGTGACACAGGTTGGCAGAAGCCGGTCGAGCTCTCTGTATTCGTGCTGAGATTTCGTCACAAACCAGGCCTTTCTTATATACTGAAGCTATCTAGGATTGAGACCAGTTGAATGAGATTACGCCCGGTCCCCGAATTCTGTCTATGATCTTAGTCAATCTAACTGTTAAAACTGGACCACCACCCTTAAAAATCTCAGGGGTCAATCTATCAGGACCCGCTGCTCTCCCTCGCTTCAGATTTTCTATAGCTTTTTCAACTTGATAAAGACTCAGAGAACTTACATCGATTTGCCATTCAGGTTGACTGGAGATTGTGGGTAACCGAAGTGTGGCTCAAGGCCAGTTTAATTGATCTCTGATGTGTTCGATCCAATCTCTTGGGTTGAGAATGAATGATACAGCCATTCTTTTCTGAGATTTTTTATCTAACAGATAGATTTCTTGTATCGGTTTCCTTGATAAGTCGGAAAAACTGTCTACTCTTACCTATTGCCACTGCCCTTTTCGTCTCTCTTGCTTTCTTTACCCACCACTGTTCGTGATTATTGTGTAGGCTTTTATTCAGCCTGCGCCCAAGCTGACTCCGCTCCTCATCGTGCTCAGAGCCAGATGAGATGTGTTTTCGAGCATTCATCAGTTCGGAGGATGCTACTGAGATCCACGGCTTCATCCTAGCCTTATGGTTTACCTTACTATCAGATATGATTACTGTTTCCACAGCATTTTGGATATCATTCCAAGCTGCCTCCGAATGAGAATCACATACATGGTCGCCTAACTGTTTTTCTAATTGTTCCTGAAATATATCCTTAGCTATGCTATCATTAGGTAGTATCCTAATAGGTTTCTTTACAGCGTTTTCCCTACGTCCACTATGATGCAAGCAAATACGTGCTCGTACTAGAACATGGTTCAAATGTGAACATGTCTTCCGGAACAAGCGACAGTCTTCTGTCGAGCCCCTTCATCGGTAGCTGTTTGCGATGTGATCTAGTGGACAGGCCAAGAGATGTTTCTCCTTATGCTTGCTAGGAATAGGCGGTTATCTGAGCACAGTTACATCAGACAGTAGTGATTACATGTTCTTTGAGCCGCGACACCATAAAATCCACTCAGTTGTTTTTCCTTTTCACCTAGTCTACTTACGTGAGCGTTGAAGGCATCAACCATTATAACTATGTCAGAGCGCCTAACTTTTTCGAGGAGGTCTGAAAACTTTCTCTGAAACTCATCCTTCACCTCGTCTGAACTGTAGTCAGTGGGAGCGTAGGCAGATACGACGATGAGGTAACGGCGAGTGTCCCTATCTTTCTGAGTCCTGACTGTCCCGTTTAGTCGGACGGCGCATAAGCGACTGTCTACTGGGATCCAGTCTAGGAGAGCTAGTTCTGCCATAGGACTCAATTCTATACTTAAGCCAGCGAGACCCCGGGAAATAGCAGTAAGGCTTCCACATACTCCAAGATTAAACCCAGTTAATTTTCTCTCTGCACAAAGTGAAATCAAATTGATGATTCTACTCGGATCCTGTATGTGCGTATTGAAGACGCAGCACGAGATTCCAAAGCCCTAGCTAAGAAAGTTTGTTGTCATATTTGCTAAAATGACCGGACATTAGAAACTCTGATATATAGTTCAGAACGGGGTTTCAGGAGACCAGGAATAACGTTTCTTGAATTCGAGTCGTTTGCATTAGCGGTGCAGGGTGACATTGTAATGTGGGAAGGTTTCCTCGTGGAGATAAGTCAGTTATTAGGAGGTGTAGAATAGATTTGATTGTGACCAATTTGTTCTGGTGTGCTTTTATTTGCATGAGGGCGGATGTCACTTCCCGTCTGCTCACACCGTGAAAAGGCTGTGGTTGTCACCAGGGTCATCGGCTTCATGACTTCTGAGGGAACTCCGCCTTCACCATGAGACTTCATAAATCTTCTTAATGAAGACCTAACTCGCAGGGCAGGGTTTAAATGGTATGAATTATTTTTACTTGTTAGCGTTTTTTTGGCGAGTTTATTTTTTACGGGATATGGTCGCCAACCCCGAGCCCATCCCTTTTTTATCTGGGCTTAGGACCGGCAGTGTCGGCCGAGGGGCTCCAGGTGGAATTTACCATACGTACGGTAGATGTATTACTGTCAGTGAAGACGAAAAAGCAATAAAGTTAAAAATTAGGCTAATTTTGAAGGCTGAGATATCAATCATGTTTGACTTTCTGATTACATCATACTAGAATTAATGTGACCGGATCTTCGTAAATAAATAAGGGACAGAATCCTATTTGTTCATCATGTTGTTGAGTTAATAAAATTTGCAATCACATATTTATCTTGCAATCTTTTTGAATAAAATTGTTTAAACTGAAGTCATCTTTTCCGTTTGCCTTATTTTCAATTTCAGACTTGTTGGTTTCGTTTTGATACAAAATCTACGCATGTGGCTTTTGATACCTTTGATAACTAGTTTAACTGTATCATTTTTTGTGTTTACATGGTGTTGTGAGTTGGAGGCGCAAACTGTTACAAAATTTTACAATTAAATATTGTTTTGAATTTTTCAAATAGTTTTACTTAGTGTTTTGTATATATGATGATTCTTTTTATTGTTACAATTTTTTTTTGAATTTTATGTATAGACAAAATTTACTGATTATTGTATATGCCTCAAGCGAGCAGCAGTGAATTGATTTAAATTACTTTTCCAGAAACATGTCATCCTTTATTAAAATTCTGAAAATAACTTCTGAAATCAAACTCAATCTGGTGTCCAAATAACATGAAGAACACAAAGGTTCTCTTGGAAATCTGCTCAGGAATATAGTCATTAAATTTTAATGCTATAGTGAGCTTTAACGATAATTAGAAGATTTCAACGTTTTTAAACCATAGTTTAGTTTTCTGACTGTTCCAATTCTTTTTGAAATTAAAGAGGTCCGTCGTGGTCTTTAAATGGAACCTGTGAAACTGAAAGCTAGAATTAGCCTTAATTATTAATTCATACATCCAATAGCGGCTGGACGCTATCCGTTATTGATGAAGAAAATGCCTTACAATTGAAAAATATCTAGATCGTGAAATATTTTATATTTTGTGGTCAGTAAGCGTTTTGCGTACTTGCTCAATCGGTTGAGATTTGAGTCTCAACTAACAGGCACAAATTCGAAGTTAGTGTTTGGCATTTTGATAAAAAATCTAATTCTTAATTATATTACTCTATGGGAAAACTGAATTGTAAGAGTATCATATCTGTGGTTTTAAAGATATGTCATAACTATGAATTCTCCTAAAAATTTTGCATTATGTTGCTTCATGGTTCAACCGCCGTTCACGTATCCTGACATCTAACCCCAACTGATTGTTTTTCAAGTAAATGGTGGGAACTTAAAAATCCAAATTCATTGAAAAGAGATAATTAGTTCTTTCTCGAATCAGTCTCCCATTTTTTCCGTTTCATTTTCGTAATTGTACAAGAAAGTAAATCTGAACAGGAGGGAAGAATCAATGAATAACAATACAATTTTAAAAACAACTCTGACGTAAATCAACTGTACATAGTAATTTAAACATAGGAAAGACAATAACATAATATTTGTTGATGTGTTTACGACTAGTTTTATGTTTATGTGAAGAAGAAAATGATTTATTGTTGTATTAGATTATATATTGGATAAATGGTTAGCATTAGGAAGTAAGTGATGAATGAAAGTTGTGGAAAGAAAACGAAAATAACGACTGAGTATTAAGGAAGATAAAAAAGATATTGTTATCTGTATATAATCAATAACCAGACACTAATCTATACGCCGTGAGCATAGAATAAATGAGAGATGGGAACTTTGGTCTTATTACTCTATAACCTTCCACCAAAGAGCAATCATAGTATTAGAAATATTAAGGCTGATTTTCATTTAGAATAGTATTAGTTGTAGTTATGACGTATTAGTGTGTACACACTCGCTTAAAATCTTTAATAAGCAATGATTCTTAGTCAATATTTCAACACTAGTAGATGCATTAGTTTCTTGGCTCCAGTTAGTAATTGCCACAGAGAGTTATCCACTGATTGAAAACCCGGTGTTTTTATTTGGAAATTATAGTTTTATAGTTGTCTTGTTTCTATCTAAAAGTTTGCTTCATCTCGTTCAATAGTTCTTTATACACGATTAGGTTGATTTTATTTGCCTTACAAATCATTAACGATTATAGTCGTTAGCTTGTATGGAAACCAATTGAGGAGTTGATATGGTTTGCGTTATAACTTGATACTACTTGCATACGAATTCAATAGTATGAAATATAAATGCAAACTTGAATAATTCCTCACGGCATATTTAGGTGGTAGGTTGGAACAAACTCACATATGACCATCTGAACTATGCCCAACTTAATCAGTAGGCGATATCTCCGATAATTTTCTTCAGGGATCAAACTATTGATGATTAAGTAATGTTACCAGTTATATTTCTTGTCACTTAATACTGGCTCTTGTTTAAGTTAAATCTTCCAATGTAACAGTTAAAGATAATTTTGATTAAAATCATCCGAAGTTATGGAGGAATAAGTCAAAGTAAGATTTTTTTATCCTCTTAAAAGTTACTGCCGAATATTACATTTTTTCTCTAAAGTTTTTTCATTACTTCTATAATTACGAGCTACATTATTTCCCATAGCGTTAGCAACTTCTCTACTGAATGAATGGGAAAATTTTTGTGACTCCTGTGGATCTTTTATCTATAGAAAGCTGATAAGATCTCTTCTCAGGAGGATATTGAGCAGTCTAGATGATAACTTCATTGCTTCATACATTCACCAAAGCAGTAAATCATAATAACACCATACAACATTGTATGTTCACCTTGGTCTCGGAGAAATAGCGTGGCTTACCACAGATACATCGCTCATGTACTCTTTCAATACTGACACTTTTTATACCAGCAAGAACTATCACTACTAAGTGGATTGTTTAAGAATCACTTAAGTATGCTTATCGATTTCCGGGCATTCCTAAGGTTAGATAAAGTATTTAAAATCAAGTTTTAAAGAAATTTTCCCTTAGAAAGTAAATAACCGATCTGCTACTGGCAACATAAAATTTGCCGTTCGTAATGATATACATAAAAACTATTAAAAGGGAAGTAATTATTTTGTCACTTAACAGTGTAGTAAATTCATCTTGATATTAATCAACATTTTCAAGAAACTACCACTTACAAAAATACTAATAATTGAATAGCTACAAATCCTGATCCATTGTTTACATATTTTAATGATAGACTACAGCCATAAGTCCTGATCGAATAGATATTAGGAAGGTTTATGTTAAGATAACCGTGTTTCGCTATGTGAAAATGGGTAAGGCTACAAGGTGACATCTATGGAAGAACATCGCCTCCTAAATTGATTACTAATAAAAGCCTATAAACTCATTTATGGTAACAGTTGCCAATAAATGAACGTCGCCTGAATTCACCGAATAAATGTGTATTTATGAACTCCTCCAAGAGCCGTTTTAGGATTACTGCCGGTCCCAAGCCCAGATTAAGGAGAAAGATCCAGCATAGGTTAGTGACATCGGACGCAAGAGAATTAACTTGTCGAGAAACCCTAATCATAAAAAATAACTGAAACCATTTAATTCCGTTCCATATATTTGAATACACAGAAGCAAACAGGAAAGTGAAGAAGAGCATCAGAGCCGACAAACGAAAATATAGCAATGACGGCGGAAACGGCTTCATGGGAAGGAAACTTGATACAATTGTGCGATACGACAAAGGAGCTCGCTGTAAACTATCGTGAACCAGAACGGCCAGTGAAGAGCGATTCTCTTTCTCCCGGTGGTTGACTGGATCATGAAAACGTCAACATCTGGAGGGAAGCACGGGATGCAGTGGATAGCCAGGATGCGGCTGGACTATCTGGAATGGCAGGTGATCTGGTCTTCTATCGTATACGCAACAACAAATGCAGGAGAGGACGACCAGTGTAGCAGCAGCCTCAGTGGCCGCAGGTCTCAACATAAATGAAAGGAAAAGCAAGATTCTCCGATACAACACAACATGCGCTAACCAAATCACTCTTGATGGAGATGCACTGGAGGACGTTAGAACCTTTACATATCTGGGCGACATCATCGGCAATCAATGTGAATCCGATGCAGACGTGAGCGCGCGAATCGACAAAGAAAGGGCTGTATTCCTACAATGGAACAACATCTGTAACTCCTAACAACTATCAACCAAAACCAGAATTTTAATACAAACGTGAAGACAGTTCAACTGTACGGGGCGGAAACTTGGAGAACTACGAAAGCTATCATCCAGAAGATACAAGTGTTGATTAATAGTTGTCTACGCAAAATACTTCGGATTCGTTGACCAGACACCATCAGCAACAACCTACTTTGGGAGAGAACAAACTAGATTCCAGCGAAAGAGGAAATCGGGAAGAAGTAGTGGAAGTGGATGGGACACATAATGCGTGAAACACTCAACTGCGTCACGAGACAAGGGATCATTTGGAACACCCAAAATAAGAGGAAGGGCAAGAAACACTACGCCGAGAATTAGAGAAAGACATGAGAAAAATGAACAAAAATTGTACATAACTGAAAAGGGAGACCATGGACAGAGTAGGTTGGAGAACACTAATCGGCGGCCTATGCTCCATTGGGGGTAACACGGGTAGGTAAGTAAGTATATGTTTGAAGGTCCTCATTTAGATGAGTTATGATGACTCATGATGAAAGCCGGGTTTCTTTGGAAGTCGGGAGGTTGATTCTCCTCCTGACTGCCAGATTGTAAGGAACGGTCGCACATTGTGTGAGATCGGAAGAAACATCCAAGTTTCTGCAGAAATAAAAAACTAAAAGCTTGTGGTAGTTGGAATCGGTTAAACAGGAGAGATACAGCTATACTTCAGTCATGAAGAAGAAAATACTTGACACACACAGGTATTTGTACTGATGCTGTCCAAACAAGCACGAAAAGCACTGATAAGATGAGATTCTCATGGATCCAAGACCATCAAAACATTATTCTAAACAGACAGTGATGCGACTACAATGATTGTCATCCAGTGTTGTTTCCATCAACGATATTAATCAAGGTAACAAATATCAAGTCTACGAAAAGCATCAGTCAATCGTTGGGAAATACCAAGCAAAGGACTTGACCATTCTGATGGGAGACTTGAACGTCATGCATGGGATGGACAACACCGAGTATGAAGACATCATGTGACGACATGAACTGGGAGAAAGGAACAAAAACGGTAAGAAATTCGCAAATCTATTTTTCTTCAACATATTGGTTTATTCGGGATACTAGAAAATTGAACTAATGACAGATAGCTCTGAACAATAACTCCCAGGCCTTTCACGATGTACTCAGTGGAAAGGAAACTACTGTGTGGAACAACTGGTGAGCTATCAAAGGCTTCCAGCCACAAATATCACCATCACAAGTAATGGGTCACTGTCGATACACTGGATAAGATTCAAGAATAGAAGAACAGGACGATAACCGAACACGAGTTGAGGAATTCAAAACATAGACCGAACACACAGAAGCAAACAGGCAAGTGAAGAGGGGTGAAGGTGATTAGAAAGATCTCACCCGTTCTCTTTCTTCTGGTGGCGAACGGGATTATGAAGATGTCAACATATCGAGGGAAGCAGGAAATGGAGTGGATAACTTGGATGCAGCTGGATGATTTAGACTTCGTAGATGATCTAGCTCTTCTATCCTACACACAACAACAAACGCAAATGAAGTCGATCAATGTAGTAGCATCAGCCTCTACAGCAGTAGGTT